GAGGCCTCATCCCTGGGAACATTCAAGGCCAGGTTGGATGGGGCTCTGAGCAACCTGATCTAGTTAGCAGTGTCCCTGCTCAGTGCAGGGGGGTTGGACTAGATGACCTCTAGGGGTCCCTTCCAACCCCAAATCTTCTATGATTCTATGATTCTATGCTTCCTCCCAGCTTCTTTTTGCTGAGCAGGGCTTACAGCAGTCAAAGACTTTTTCAGCTTCCCCTGCTCAGCAAAAACTAAACCATCAGTGTGTTATCAACATTCTTCTAGCACTAAATCCAAAACACAGCACTGTGCAAGCTGCTATGAAGAATATGAAATCTATCCCAGCTGAAACCAGGACAATGCTCAACTGTCAAAATAAGAAAATATATTTCTTTCAGTCTGAGAAGTTGTCATTTCTTAGTTAATTATGCTTGTCCATTATTGAGCGGTCAAGCTGTATTAGCCCAGAGGTATTTTAACATAATATCTAAAAGTAAGAGAGATCACCAGTTTCAGAAGAACTAACCGACATCCCATAAATATGAGAGAATCTTGTATATGTGACCTGTAGCTCTATTCTGTGACCATGTCTGAGAAAGCATTTAAGCACGGATTTAAACTCCAGACTGTGACTAACCTGGAATGAAACTAAACATATACCAGAGTGCCTTTTCTGGATGTGCTTCTTTTCTAGATAGGCACATTTACTGTCTGTTTTTCATGGCAAATATCTATCTTTCTGGCAGAGGAATTTGAGGACTTGAGTAGGCAGCATGATTCTGCTTCACTACTCTTTTGCGGGAAATGTTGCTGAATACTTACAGGTATAGAGTGTGCAGTTGCTGAATGTAGATCGTTGTTCTTGCATAGCTGCCCCATTCTGCTAGTGACAAGGTCTTAACATGTGGAGTCTTGGGCAAAATGTGAAATCCTGACTTCCTCCTTGTAGAATATAGTGCATTTTTAGCTGATTGCATGTTACATGCCTGGCGTACTGTTCAGGCCCAGACTGAGACAGAAGTCAGAACCCGTGTCTAAGAGGTCAGCTTGTTCTGCACATGAGGTCTGCATGCAGTAAAGTCTGAGCCTGCAGAGGTGGTACAGGGGATTAAGCAAAATTTAATTTGCCTAAACTCAGGCTGTCATCCCCACAGTCCTGTCCAAGGTCAAGCACTGTACACCACATGGAATCCAAAACTTCAGGACAAAATAATTTTTACATGAGGAAAATCTTCATTGCCCATATGGGGCACGTGCCTTCCCAGGTATACTAATATGACAAAGTGATTGTCTGTCCGTAATGCAACTAAATGGATGAAAGAAATGCAGGCTAGGGAATCCTTCTGCTTCCACACATAAATGCATGAAATACTCTCTAGCAGACAGTCCGCTGTTCTTCAGCCACTGTATTACCTGACTTGATGCTACCTAGACAATGTTGCATTAGTTTGTGTAATGCAGTTTATACCTGTTCATTTACCCCAGTTATCTCATATACCCACAGTGTATATGAGAAGAAATTGTTATATTCTAGATGTCAAAATGACATCAAATGATCATAATGTTATTCTTAGCTAGTACATAAGCTTGCATGGGCTCCATCCCATAGTGGTGGAGCTGTATTGGGAAGGGGTTCATGCCTCTTGACCAGAGAAGGTCCCAGCCTCGATGAAAACTCAGTTCCACCTCCTTGCTTCTGCTTTTTCCCCCAGGTTTCCACTACTGGCAGTGGTGACAGAGGCTTGCATATTTTGTTTACCATTAAGTCCAGTTCCCCTGGCTGATTTTGCACATTCACTATACAACGCTCATATGAAAACCCAAGCCTTTAAGGTATTTTGGGGTAGATCCTAAATTTCAAGCTAGAGCACGTTTCTTCACTGCAAACTTCTGCTTGGTCAGAACCTCTCCTTCCTTCTGACCCCACTTGGGTCAGAATTATTGTCTGAAAAATGGAGGAATACTAAATGACAGGCTTTGAGTGGGATTTCCCACTGACAAGGAGGCTGCCTGTGACTTCTGGAGAAGAGGAAGAAGCAGACCAAAGAGGACACAGTAACATGAAAAAATACTACAGCAGGATGAAAGAGATGCCCTAGGTTATCAATTGTCTTGAAGATCAGCTATAGATTTTTCACTAGGTTGACAAGGATATTTTTGTTTTCTGAAGTTTTTTAGGATCAGTTCTTTCCTAAGCAAGGCTTTGGTAGTTTGCAGGAATAGAAGAAGACTGGACTTGTCTTACTTATTTCCTGTGTGTTTAATGGCAGAATCAAAGTCACCACTTTGGGTGTCAGTACCAGTCGCTCGGCCAAATTCTCCTCTCAGTGTCACTGATGCAATCTTACTTGGCTGTGAATTCTTCTCTCTGCTACTGCTTTGCTTCTGTGCTTGTGTGTGCCTCTGTGTCTGCATTTGTGTGCTTGTTTGTGTGTTCAGCCCAAGAGTCAGAAAAAACGTTTCAGGAATATGAATAAGGAATGTGAAAAGTTCTGACTGTGTAATGTCTGTAACGGACAGAAAACATAAAAGAAGATGTTCGGCATCAAAACTTTCAGTAAAGATCCTCGTAGTTTAGGCTGCCTTCTTCCTTCACCTTTCATTATTCTGTGACAAAACTACTGGTTTTTCTCAACAAGATCAGATGAAGGCAGTTGCGTAAAAAAGTTTTAGTCTGTATTTTCCCATGTTGTGTTTGTAAGTGATGTTTAATTGCTCATGATGAACCGAGCAATCATTTTTTAATTAAAATCAATACAAGATCTCTCCCCCTTTGAACATCCTTTGCTTTCTCTTAGCTACTGCCTACATCCAAGTTAAAAAAACCCCAAAGCAACACAAAATAAAACCAACCCCTTTTTGAGGTGTTCATGGCACTTAAAGTCCCCAAGGCTGTTAGTACAGAGATTTTTCACAATAGGTCTGTTTGCTCTTTGACAAGTGGATGTTGAAGCACTTAAAAATTTCACTGCATATCTGAAACAGCAGCAGTGGCATCATAAAATCCAGATTGTTTCATGTTATGAACAGCGCTTTATCATACTGATACTCCAGCTGAGACACACTCTGTCATTTCTCTGGAGGATGGGTCTTCAGCTGATTTTTTAATGTAATGTTACTGATTTTGGTGCATTCTGCAGACATATTGCACATCCAAAACATTATGTATACAGATTATATATCTGTACTGCAACAGACAGAGCTTTCCACATAAATTGACAGCTGCAAGCAGTAGATTTTTATTGCCATTTCTTTATTAAATGCAAAGTACTTAAAGGCATGAAATCTAGAGGCTTCAAATAGTTAGGAAATACACACTTATTATGTCCTACAATCAAATGCAGTTGCTGAAACTTAATTTTCTGAAGCTTAGCAGTACCCTACACCTATGAAATCAGGAGCTCTGCTGCAGAGAAACTATCAAGTTTTTCAGGTGTCTGGAGTGGGACCTAGCATCTCACTAACTGTCGGGGTTGTTTGCAGAAGTCCAGGTACAGAAGAGTGCAGTGTATATATGCAGCATGCAGTGAGGACAGAAACAGCTGGATTAGATTCTTGGTCAGAAATACTCATCTATGCAGAGCTCAGTCCGAATATGCAGTGCAAGAATGTTGGGGGACTGAGTCACAAATACGTGTTGAATGACCCCATGGCTGACAGCATAAGCTGCAAATGCTGTTGTGGCAGAGCACTGTCTTCTGGACTGTTTAAGATCACATCTGCCCTGAAAATAGATGTGTGCGTTTTCATCTATAAGGACATCAAGCTGCTAAAATTCAGCATGGGAATACCTCTTTTACCCGTATAATGAAGCTATTTTTAAAAGCGTATTTCAAAACTAGATATTGTTACACAAGCGCAAAGTAGGAAATGACTTGGCCAAACCCCAATCTGTTAGGCTGACCCTATGGTTTTCCTTATCCACAGAAGGTATTTCTTTGTGAGTCGAGTGTAGACACCAGGGCCATCAACAGTACCACACTTGCCTTTCTTCCCAAAAGCAGTGATGCCTCTCATCACATTATTGCATCTTAAAGGCCCACCAGAATCGCCCTGGAAAAAGGGAAAACAAGTTGTCATTCGAATTCACAAAAGCTAAAAAGTGCTTCTTTTAAATAAAATTTGCACCAGTTGCATGGAGGAAATAAAAATGTAGACAGTGCTATTGTGGATTTTTTTTTTCCTCTTTGGAAGGTATGATTTTCATTAGCAAAAAAGAAAGACAGACTTCATTCTGATCTTTCAAGTGTGAGTAATGGAGAATGAATCTAGCTCAGTGCTAAGGAATAATTAGTTTCTTTGGAGATGAAAAGAAAAAGCTGGAAAATTTACTCTTGAAAAGCAAAAAGTCTCCAGAAATTGGTACCTTTTTTGTAACTTTGTTAATACAATATTTACATCTTTTAAAAAGTGGCCATTCTTACACAGTTGTGCATTTGACTTGGGGCTCAGTCAAAATGCCTTTTATCAGCAAAACGTGTTTCAAAGCTCTCTGACATCAGAGAAGTTGTTCCACTGAGGTTAGCTGCTTTAGAATGGGCTCATAAGCTATTCAAACCATTTTATTGAAGATGAGAATAGCTATCTGCCATGCCCGCATAAAACCACAGTATCCCAAGTCTGTGAAGGTGAATTTATCAGAAGTTTTGGTTTTAAGGCTTAGAAGAAGAAGCCTTGGTGAATTCACTGATTTTTAATAAAATTCCTCATCAAACTGAAGAGAGGCAGTAATTATAGATGTGTAAAAGCTGATAGTTTATATTTTATTTTCAATATAATCTATGTGGATAGAGACAGTAAATATACTTACATAACATGAGTCCTTTCCTCCATTTTTATCCCCTGCGCATATCATGTTTTCTGTTATAACAGTGTTGGGTCCGTAATGACAGTTGTCATTGCAGATTTTCCTGTTGATGACAGTGATATTGACCTCCCTCAGGGTATCAGAAGCCTTTCTTATCCCATTCTGGGTTTTTCCCCACCCTGCTACTGTGCAAGTTGTTCCTGGTTTGGGATCGTCATCTGAGGTAGGCAAGGGAATGATTTGCACAGCTTTAGTAAGTCTTGCTCTTTTGTGAAGCTGTAGAAGATATGGAAAATAGTTATTATGGGGCAGAGTCTGACAGAGGCATGTTAACCATTGGATCTCTTCCATTCTGGTAATGGGAAGTTACTGCAACCAACCCCTTTTTGAGATTCCTCAGTTCTTTGTGACAGGATTTATGGAATCAATGTAAGAATGAGGAAAATGAATATTCTTTGTCTCATGAAAACCCATTTAGCTTCTGCTGAAATATTAGCTCTAAAAAACACGCTGTCATACTTCTCTGGCTTTCAGACCATTTGGAGGACAAAATAACAGTAATCACTGAAGCTGGCAAAACTGAGAATTGGAAAAGTCAGAAATATTTAATTAGAACTTTTTTTAGAAAGAAATTAGGGGTTTCAACCAAATTATTTCTATGTATGAAATACGTTTCTTGTTGTGCAAGATCTTTATTCTTTCACTGAAAAGCCAGAAATTGAAATATCTTGGTCAAGCTCCAGAATTTTTCTACCTCTAGCATTGGCATACATTACAGGAATTGTTGATTGCCTTAGTTCCCCGTGCATCCCCCAGTTCCCCATTGTGCTGGGTTAGCAGACCAGACCATGTCACCTGAGAAAAAAAGTCACCAGAAGCTCCCTTGGCTCATCTCCCTCACAAGAAGGAAGAAACCAGTACATTGTAGGAGATGCATATTGCGTAAGTGATGTGTAAGTTTATACCTGCAGCAGCATAAGGTCTCTTTCCTTACTCTTGGAATTGTAGCCTGGGTAGCGAATTTGTTTTGAAATCCGAAAACGTTGTTTTTCTTTTTCTTTTGCTCTCTGTGAGTGAGCTCCAAGAACAACTTGGGCTTCTTCCCTGAGAAGAGTTACAACAAGGTTAGTGCGATTCACTTGCTGTAAGTCCGTAATTCTTTGCTGTTAAATGTGGTACTGTAATGTCCAGCTGCTACACAGTCTTTTTTCTCATGCCTGAAAAGCCAAAGTAATTTAGAAAAATATAAAAGATTACCCTGTTTTCAGGGTTAAAAAAAATTGACTCAGTGAATCAAAATTCATGCTATCCCATTTTCAGCTTCCCAGGAGCATAGACAGGGTTCAGGTACTTGACTCTAAACTACTCCTGCTGTTTCTCTTTGGGAACTGAATGAGGGATGGATGCATCACCTTTGCTATTGGCAGTGGTCTCACCAACTGTGCCCTCTGCAATTTTAGTTGAAAATTTAGGAGAATAGCTCACGGCACTGTTAGTTCAGAGATCATCATGGCTGGACTGAATTGTACCATTGCTTTGCCCTACTACCATTTCAACACCATTTTCTGAGTCCATGTGAGACATAGCTCATGCCCTTTCTCTAACTTGTTCTGCAACTTCATATGCTTACTGGACACCAAAGTGGTGACCATTGTGCCTGCTGGGGCTCTCTGGTATAGAAACTAGGAGTCTAGCACTCCTTGGTCAAGCAGTCCATGCAGACCTTTATGTCAGACCACAGGTATAGCTATTTGTGGGAGAACAATCTACGTTACAGCCGAAGGGGAGAATATTCTTTGAGTAGGTGTGTAGGCTGGCCCTCATTTGCAACTTACTGCAGCAAATAGAACCCTGAGGAAGTGGTTGTTCCTTTCCTTCAGCTGTTAAGAGCTGTCTGACTGTTGACTGAGCATCATTAAGTTAATTATTGTATTTTCTCTTAAATGTGATCTGATTTGGAAACACTCTTTACCTTAGGTTAATAGGACAGCTTTTGGGCCCTATGCTCTCTCTGTAGTAGGTCCCATATATCTCCCTGTTTGGACAGGGACAGGAGCAATGGGTACACTTCTCTGATGTCTGCAGAGTCCAGTGACACACTGGTCCTGGGCAGGCCACTGGCAGAGCCCATGTGAGGTCTGGCTCAGCAGCAGCTCTAGTCCTGCCCACAAAGGCAAGGGATAGGACGTGTCATTTAAAAGTCACATCTTGCCTCGCTGAGGGACAATGCGGGGCCAAACAGCCATTTGCATCTTGAGTCAGACAGGAAGAGGAAAAGTTGGCTGACAAACCAACATTCCCAGTAGAGACCTCTGTGTCTCCTGTCGTCTGTCTAGAGGATTTTTGCTCTAGATGCTGTCTCTTTCTGTAGTGAACTGCATATCTTTTGCAGAATAAAATGACAATAATTCATTTCTGTTTTCTGAGCAGCTATTTAGACTGGCCAGTCCTCTGGCCTAGTGCATGGGTTGACTGAGAAAACGGGGATAAACCTTTCCCCCAAAATTCACTACTTCAGTGTTGCTATTCTGTGTTTGCGTGCAGCTAGAAGCTTGTAAAATATCTCTTCAGAAATTGTGAAGATCAGTATACCTTGTTATGTTATTTTTTACTCACTGAAGCACATGTGTCAATATAAATTACAAAACACAGTAGTCAGACCATGATCATGGTCATGCTAAACACACAAAACCACCAGGGATATAAACTTTCCTTCTTGAACAGGGACACCAGATACTAAAGACAATCTCTGAATCAGAGTAAGAACTTACACATCACAGTGGGCAGCTGTTAACACCCAGTTTTCCTTGATCAAAGCTCCTCCACAAATAGTTTCTTCATTTGCTCCAAGGATTAGGGCCATAAATGGCCTTGAGTGTGGTTTTACTTCATGTCCTCCAATAATATCCACACACAAACCTAAAAATAAAAATAAGCCACAATACAAACAACTGGGCTAACACATACAGTAAAACACTCAAAGTCTCTTAGAAACAACAGTTAATGAATTACAAAGTATACAGACACACAAAGTATACAGTCTGGATATATGTCATAATGCTGGACTTCATGGTAGTCTTTTAAAATTACTCAGCAGTACTACTTCTTTATGTTTGGAGCTGCTGGAGTGGGTTCAGAGCAGGGCCATGAAGATGACCAGAGGGCTAGCACACCTCCTGTATGAAGACAGGCTGAGAGAGTTGGGCTTGTTCAGCCTGGAGAAGAGAAGGCTGCGGGGAGACCTGATTGCGGCATTTCAGTACCTGAAGGGGGCCTACAGGAAAGTTGGAGAGGGACTTTTCACAAGGGCATGTAGTGATAGGACAAGGGGTAATGGCTTTAAATTGAAAGAACATAGATTTAGATTAGATATTAGGAAGAAATTCTTTAAAATGAGGGTGCTGAGGCACTGGAACAGGTTGCCCAGAGAAGTTGTGGATGCCCCATCCCTGGAAGTGTTCAAGGCCAGGTTGGATGGGGCTCTGAGCAATCGGCAAGGTGCCCCTGCAAGGTGTTCCTGCCCATAGCAGGGGGAGTTGGAATGAGAAGACTTTTAAGGTCCCTTCCAGCTCAAACCATTCTATAAGTCTATATTTCAATGGGACCAAAATTAGCTCAGTGGGGTGAGCTTTAACAAGAAAAATACCAAAGAATTGTTGGTTTTGCACAGATTTCTTTTCCTGAAGTTCACTGCTATGGTTAATTTCTTAGCTTTTATTGTCAGTAACAACCTCAGATCTGCCACATGATAAATGCTGTGTAATATGTAACTAACTTATGTGGACACCAGGAAACTGGGCTATATAGGGTAAGTCACATTACATGAACCTGTTTTTCAGAAAAACAGAAAATCAAGAGATTAATGTATGTCTGTGCCTCTGGCGAGAAAGATCAGATAATCATTAGGTTAGCTCCTCTGAACTCCTCCAAATAGCCTGTCCCCTGTGCAGATCTAATTAATACTACCCATTCAGAAATTATTTTGGTTTTATGAAAGATCAAACACATGCAGACAGTGGAAAATAGCTAATAATAAGAACTCAAAATAATAATTGTGACTACTTCCTTTACATTTATACATGTCGGCTTAACTGGAACTCTATGCATTCAGCATTTACCTTCAAAAGGATCAAACTGGGCACTTACCTCCACGAATTATCAGGAGAATGACAGCTGCAGAGGTGGACAAAGTAAGGAAAGCTCTCATGATTTCTGTCTGGCGTTCCCCATTGTTCACTGTTTGAGAGATATATATATCTAAATGAAAAGGATGTTGAGGGTTTTGTTTTTCCTTTTAAGGGTATCTGACATTTGGACCTGTGGCAAAGGCAAAAACACCTCCCCAACAATGTAGCTACAGCGTAGGTGTGAGTGAGAAGTTGCATCATCTGTTGTGGTGTGAAGACAGGATCTGCCCCTGTTCGTGTTCTCTCTGTAGCATTTGCAGAGAGCTACTATACGAGTACTGGGGTGAAACCTTGCAAGCCACTACGTGCTCAGTTACACCATGGGACTCAGCTCGCATAAATTTAGGCTTGATTCAGTTGCCTACATGAAGTCATAGAGTTTCATTCTAGACAGGCCAGGTGGCCTGCAGGTCAGAGATAAATCCCAGCCCATTCCCCATTAGAGAGTTACCTGTGCTGTTCAGGAGCCCCCCGTGCAGAAGGCCATGGGTTTTCTGTAGATGCTACATTAGGTTTGCCAGCCCTGTGCCTATGTCTGGGAAACCCAGACTATCTCAAACATCACTAAATGCCTAGTTTTAGGCAGCTGGATTGAGTCCTGAAAACTGAACAAACCTTATTAGAGCCTTGTAAAGGCACAGTTCCTCACTTCCAAACATATACCCAAATAATAGAAATAATCAATATTAAATAATTTGGAATATCCAATATTCTGTTAACTAACTAGGTACATTCAGTGAAGTGTCACTACCACACAGCCGGGAAGGTTTCTTCAAGACTTGATCCCCACTACAGTCAGCCTGCAGAACGCTTCTGCATTCTGGCTGTGTCACATCTTTGAGCTCAGTTGGCCCAGACTGATGTGAGTTTTACCTGTAGAGGACCTTGGACAAACAGCTGGCTCAAATTTGCCATTGTCCTCCCTTCTGGAACAGAGGGTAATTGTTGGTAATTTCTCCAAAGAAGGCAGCTCCATGCACTGCAAAGCCACACCAAGCTTTTAATTTTCCTTCATTTTTCTCCTTGCTACCTGCACATCCCCTGTAACTATCAGCAGTTTATAGCACTGGAGTTCTTCTTTTCCAATGTTCTCCTGAACACAGTATCACCGGGTATCATAGGTACCATTCTTTCATTTATCAAGTATAAATAGTGGCCCAAGTCTGATTTTATGACATTTTAATTAGCAGTCTTAGCATATTGAAGCTGTTTCCTCTCTGGACTATGCACAGACATGATCAAGATGAGCACTTGTGAGGAAAAATCCTGTACACTGAGACCTGCTTAAACTTATAGAACTACAATAGTACTGCAATTAGATATTCCTACATGAAATGCCTTGTCTAGTGAAAAGAAGTTTGGTATGTATCATTCTATGTTTACCTGATCTATTTTCAAGAAAAACCTATTCGGGAGACACAGAATAAAACATTAGCAAATGTTCCTAGATGTTTTCCAGGCAACTAAGATAAAGCTATCCTTACCATCTAAACCCAAATCTTCTATAGCCTGTTTATATTTTTTTCAATATCTAAATGCACTCCTATTTACTTCTAAATCCTACTTACTTCTTAAGATTTTTCTGTAACTCCATAGGTATAAGCATGCTCATACCTTCTAAAAAATTCCCTCTAATCCTGAGAGATCCCATTTATATTGATAATTAGAATTAGGAATATGCAGTCTAAAATACTGTTTGATAACAACTGATTGCTTTCTGCACAAGCTCCTTCTGAGCAACAGCTCTGGCTATCGCATAGTCCTAAGATTGATTGCACAGGTATTAAAGATCAGATTGATATACACATAATCAGCCTCTAGTTTTGTACCCAAATGCTTTTGTCAGAGTGCCACCTTCAGCTTTTTACTTATGTAAATGAGGCGGAAAAATTGACATTCAATTTTAGGGTGTGCAACAAGTTGTCTGGGCTCCTTTAGTTATGGCAATAAGTTAATTTGGCAATAAGTACCTGTTTTCAAACTGGCTTATAACTAGTAAGGTTCTGTGCCATAGAAATAAGCATTTCAATGCTATAATCTTATTCAACAATCTGGACACCTGCAGTTCCCTAAATCTTGAATAAAAATGAGAGCTAGCTATATTGGGCCAGTTACATTTCTGATTCTCTTTAGTGATACTTAAGACCATAGCAGGCTTTTAAAGTTCTTCACACAAGGTCATGCTGGGCTTTTTTGTAGTGGTTTACCAGCAAGGCATGCGAAACATGGGTGCAGACTCAGAATTTTGCAGTACAGAAATGTCTCTCCCACCACTATGTCTTTTCATCTTTTTCTGGTGAGCACTGATTAGATATTGGGCTTGCATTTGACACTTGCACGCTCTACGGTTTTCTGTATGTGAATCCTGTGCCCTCAAAAATTACTGCTAAGAAAATGCAAATTGCTCCACGTGTGTAGCTTGTCTTTTGCATCAGGTGTTCCTAAACTTACCAGACAATAGATGCCTGCCAATTCCCAATGACTCTCATAAACTTCATAAATGAATCTTTTTCAGTCCTTAAACTGAAAATGTTACTGGGGCAGTATAATTCTGCAGAGGACTTGCTGGACCCTGCTGTATCTTGGTCCAAAAGTTGGGAATTACTTTTGTACTCTACATGTCCTGAGTTTTCCCTCTCACTGGTGTTCTGTGAAAGCCTTTTCAGGTGGCCCTTTTATTCATTCTCCCTTTTGTTCACCTGCTTGAAGGTGGCCAGTTTCATCCTCACGTATTTCCTTTTATTTTTCCTTTAAATTCAAAAGCACATGCAATTCTCTGAGACACTTAGGTTTTATAATACATTCATCCCATGTTATGCTCAGGAATTTTCTTATGAGCTTATTTGCTAATGTAATACCTGTGGTGAAGGGCTGCTGAAGTTCATGTACGACTTGGACCAGTTACTATTGACATGTGTTGGGGATTCAAGAAGCAGGCAGGTTTTAAAGAAACCTGAAGAAACCAAGCTGCAGCTAAAATAATACAGTAATAATGATGTAAAGGGAGACTTCAAGAGAGGGAGCTATTTATAAAACATTTCAACCACCCTTTCCTGTAGGGGACATTTAAATAGAGAAGACGATATCATAATTTATGATGTTCTTGTCGGTAAATAGCAGCAGCTATGACAAGCCACCTGTTAGCTCTCCTGCTCTCCCTAATTGCTGTTATCCTACCCCCAAGATGTAAGTACTCCTCTAAGGATAAAAATATCCAAATTCCCACTTCCTCTGGATAACATGTAACATAACTGCACTTCTGTTGCATTTCAGGTGGCTGCACGGACATTATCAGAGGACACATCGTGCATCCTCATTCCTGGCCTTATATGGCTGCTATCCAGGTAAAGAATTCAACTGTGTGTGGAGGAGCTCTTGTGGAAAAGCAATGGGTTTTGACAGCAGCGCATTGTGAGTAAGTATCTTATACTGGGGCATTTTTAACTCTTCACTGAGGAGGGGTATGGCATTCAAGCCTGTAAGTGAAGAAAAGTGGTTATTGATTTCTTCAGAATTGTTAAAAGCTGCAGTTCTCTCACTAAACTGATCTAAGAACTTGTTCTGTTTTGTTTTGTAAACTGCTGATCTGCATGGTGCACAGTTACCTTCATTAGTCAGATCCTGCCGATGTTACAGGACACAGGCTGTGCTGATAAAAGACCCCATCATTATTTATGCATCTGAAACAGCAGTATCTTAGAGACAGGGTTATATTTCAAAGTGCTTTAAACAAATCTTGCCCGTGTGCCTGGGCTAAGCCTCAAAACACCCTGAGAGATGAAGTTGAATCAGATGGAAACACTATGCCTCCCATTTTAAGTGACCTGGGCTCACAAAAACTGAATGTCAGTCATGACTATGACAAGAAGCCTTGTCCTTTTGACAAGTCAAATGTGAGCACTAGCACCCCTTCCCCAGGTGGGATACCCCAAGGCTGGCACAGCTGTTGAACAGCTGGCTCAGGGTAAGGAGGACATCTGCTGTTCACCTTAGGAAGTAAAATACCCATGTTTTTGCTAAAATATTCTCTGAATGGTGTTTTAGTTCTCCAATTTTTTTCCTGTGACTGAAAGCAAATCAGTTACAATGAGCCTGTGCAAACCTGACCTCCTCAAACCCAATGTGGGCAGCTCAGCCAGCCTTCTTCCATCAGTTATTCTGAAATAGCGGACACAGCTCCTTCTTTCTAAGTGAATTTGGCTTCCACGTTTCTTCAGCTGAATCAGGTTTGGTTGCATTTTTTGTAAGGGTAGAAGTATTCACAGCTAGCATGTGCTGGTTTGGACATGTACAAAACAAAAGCCAAGCCTTCCTCTTTGGAATTAAGGAGTATTTTGATGGGAGCTGCAGTCTCTCACTCTTCAGTCAACAGGTTGGAGATATCATTATAAAAATTCAGATTTGGGAGCTATTCAGTGCAGAAGGCACTGGTTGTCTCTGGTCCTGTGGAGAGGACAGGTCTGGTCACTGGTTTGGTTTTCTAACAAGCACGTTGGTTTGGGCTGACTTTGAGTATTTGTCACTGGGGCAAAAAGAAACTTTTGTCTGGTCTCCTTCTCCTGAGCTCTATGATGATGTCCATGCAACATGGACAGGACTTGTCCCCCACTGCCTATGTCTAGACTATTCTTATCAGGTGCAATTGCAGTGCATGTAAGCCTTCCTAACTAATTACTATTATGTGATAATCACTTCTGAAATAATTTTTGTCTTAGACAAAATAGCATGAATCCGGCAACATTAATTTCTGTGTGGCTTGCAAACAACCTGTCAGAGACCTGGATGAGGTTGCAGTGGGGGTTTTGGTTTTCGTTATTTTCTTTCACCCAAGCTTCTCTGTATGCACAGTGGCTGACTGCCTGGGCTTTCTGCAAGTCCAGCAGTTGCATCTCTTTGGGGATGATACATGAAAGAGTCCTAGGAATGGAGTTTTGTGAGTCTTGTATCATTCTCATTGTGTAAACATGCTTTGTATATAAAAAGACAAATTTTTATTATCCTGCACTACCTTTACAGCTATTTTCGCAAGCAAACATTCACATGTAAATAAATTAATTGTACCTTTCAGTGAGACATGCAGCTGGAATGAAGAAAATAACTTTTTTTTTGTTTGGATCGATAAAGTCTTCATTCTGGCTTGAATAAGTTGTCCCATGTGTAGTGAGATTGTGTTCTGAAGATGAAGCACAGGCAACCAGCTGTATGACTTCCGGCCATGTCGTCTTACTGGCCTGCATTAAGTCTAGCAGGGCAAAATGAAGAAAGACAAACTCTAATAAATATATGTCTGATGATACTTAGAGAGCTTGGGGGAGAGAGAGAGTTATGACTTGCTTAACTCATACTGTTTATTAGCAGGAATTGGACATATAAGTCTCTTTGGGCTTTGGCAGTCTCCCTTTTAAATATTCCTTATGGGGGTGTCTTGAGTTAGGCAACATCCATTCTTCTTCCTTAATGGGCTGAGTCCTGTACTTAGTGAAAGACAAAACTCGTATTAATATTAAAGACGTCCACTTTAGCAGAGCATTTACGTGTATACATAACGTTCATAACGAGTATTGAGTATTGATGCGTGTACTGACATCCCACTGATGTCAGCAAGACAACCTACATGCTATTAATTTGGCATTTTTCAGTCCTTTGCAGGATTAGGTCACAAGTCTGAAGGAGACCATTAAAAGATTAACGAGATGCATCATCACCAGCAGCCCTTGTGCAAGGGACTCTCCTTAAAAAGCCAATAGTCTTTTTCATGAAATTAATTCCAAACTCTGGAAATTCCTGAAGGTCAGCTGTCACACCATTATTTCACCAAACTAGATTTACAGTAAAGAAATGTTACTTTGTAGAGGAAAATAGAGGCTCATGTCAAAACATCAAAACAAACAATATCCTTCCCTATGTTTTAATTGTGTTGTTGTAAAATGAAATTGTGAGCATTATGTTACATGTCTTTTGATTATCTTGAGAGATGTTGCTCAGTTCCAGTAGTGACCTTCTCTCCCTGTACTTTCTTTAAATTGCAGATTAGACAAATCAAAAATTAGAGTTGTTCTTGGAGCCCATCAAGCATCTGTAGCTGAAAAAGAACAGCAGATTTAAGGTTATGAAGTCCTTTCCGAATCGTCAGTTTAGCGGGTCTTCCAAAGAAAATGATATAATGCTCCTCAAGGTATTGTGTTAATTATTGTTGTATTATTATAAAAGGAATTTGCTGATGATCGTTTTGGCTATTCTTTGATATCGAATTGTACATTGTTTAGATAGCTTAACAATATCACAGAACACCCTGCTTTTGATTGTACTAATCTAGATAAGGTTACAGGATCACTGGCACCATGAGCAGAGATAACAATTCAAGCCTATTCTGTGCTCTAAAACTCCCTTTAACCCACTCACTGCAGCAGCCCATGAAAACCCTAAACCACATTCTTCAGTAATTTTTCAAAGGCAGGGCTGAAGTGATGTATGCAATGGAGTCTGGGTCACAGCTGTATCCCAAAAGGACCAAGCAAAAATGCGGACGAAACTTACTGTTTATTATTGGGGGTAACCACATAGAGTGAAATTATGGATAATACAGGACATAGATAAATTCAGCTCTAGGAGCACAGAGTGGTCACATTGTGAAGAAGGGTCAGGACACTGCAGAATGAAGCATGGAAAGATGTCCTCACCATCATCATCCTGGATGTCAAAGTGGGCCAGGGCTGTAAGAATTTCCTGCATACCAGCTCCTGCTCAGCCTGGCTCATGCCTCGTGTGTCCCTGCACTGAGAACTCTGTTAATCCAGCAGTGAGATGGACATGGAGGCAGCCAAGGGTGTTTTGAATAGGGAGAGGGTAGTCTCTATGCAGGAAACCTATAGGTGGTCAAATGGTTCTGGAGGACTGCCTTCCTGGTACCAGCAGTTTCAGTGCTAAGCCAAAGTCCCAGAGAAAGGTAAGACTTGTACATCATCTTGCCTATACCTTTAGAAACATCATGACTCCAGTTCCATGCCTGAGAAATCTCAGATGGATCTTTATTCAGGCTATGCCCATGATAGTGAAGAGATAATTTTATGAGAATGATCAATGTGTATATTTAAAGTAATTGACTAGGTACAGTATATTATGAATATTACATTTCTGAGATAGTTGGTGGAATTGTATGGAAAAGGAAGCGATGACTTAAACCTGATTTCTAATATTTAGATGGTATCACCAGTTCGGTATGACAATGGCACAGGGATGAAACTAGCAATGTCTCTTTCTGCAACTAGCTAGAGCATATACAGACATCTGTGCCCCCAGAGACTTATCACTGCCCAAGTGTGAGAAACTCCTTCCCCCATATCTTAGTGAGCATTCTCCATCTACTTCATTGCAAAGGCAGACAGGTTCACTTCACCGGTTTCTTCTGTGGCCACCAGCAACTTACCAGGAGCACCAGGTTATTTGTGAACACAGTAACAAAATGGATCGCTAGGATTTAGTATTTCTAGAGCTGGAAGTTACAACTCCATTCCAGAATGACATGCATATGGTAAAATCCTTTATCTGAATTTGACACAGGAGCAGCGGTAGTGTTAGCACCAGGGCTCACCTCCCATCTCTACAATTCTGCTGTAATGCAGTACGAAGTAACTTGGGATAAATTTTCCATGTTTGGAAATTCCCACCAGCACTGGTGATAATTACGCATAAGGATTTTTTGGATAAACTTGTGATTTGTTGGAGCACCTTTTTTAAAAGGTATAAAGCCAGAATCATTTAATTGGCAACCATTCAGCAACATGTATAACCACCTGTGAAATACATAGAATCATAGAATCATAGAATCATAGAATGTTTTGGGCTGGAAGGGACCCCTAGAGGTCATCTAGTCCAACCCCCCTGCACTGAGCAGGGACACCACTAACTAGATCAGGTTGCTCAGAGCCCCGTCCAACCTGGCCTTGCATGCTTAGAATCATAGAATCATAGAATCATAGAAT